GAAATGATTTGCCCCCTGTCCCCTCTGCCCCTTCCCGGCTTCCTTTTTGACCCCACTCGCCCTCCCCTCCCTCTCCTTGGGACTGACAGTGAGGAGTGCCCGGATTTTGGAGTAGCGGGAACTGCAGACGAGTCGCTGGTCGATGCGTGTCAGTCGCACTGGCAGCCGGGGCTGCAGCTAGAGGAGCTGTTTGAAACTATCTCCCAGGCGCTGCTGGCAGCTGTGGATAGAGACGCGCTCAGTGGATGGGGGGCCACTGTTCACGTCATGTGAGTGGTAGAGCATGGCGTGTGAGTGGTAGAGCATGGCATGTGAGTGGTAGAGCATGGCGTGTGAGTGGTAGAGCATGGCATGTGAGTGGTAGAGCATGTCATGTGAGTGGTAGAGCATGGCGTGTGAGTGGTAGAGCATGGCATGTGAGTGGTAGAGCATGGCATGTGAGTGGTAGAGCATGGCATGTGAGTAGTAGAGCATGGCGTGTGAGTGGTAGAGCATGGCATGTGAGTGGTAGAGCATGGCGTGTGACTGGTAGAGCATGGCGTGTGAGTGGTAGAGCATTGCGTGTGACTGGTAGAGCATGGCGTGTGAGTGGTAGAGCATGGCATGTGAGTGGTAGAGCATGGCGTGTGAGTGGTAGAGCATGGCATGTGAGTGGTAGAGCATGGCGTGTGAGTGGTCGAGCATGGCATGTGAGTGGTAGAGCATGGCGTGTGAGTGGTAGAGCATGGCATGTGAGTGGTAGAGCATGGCATGTGAGTGGTAAAGTGCATGCATGTCATCCGAGTGACTTTTCGCTGCACCAATAAGTGCTTTGCACGTGGCAGTCGCATGGCAGGGTCGGCAGATCTCCATTGTAATATTACAGGAAGCTGGCTCTAACGGCTTCTGATCCTACTTTTCATAGATCCTTCTTCACAGGAATCCGCCCTTGGCGCTCACCCTTTTCATCCCTTGCTTTGGATTTGGTGCCTTCCCTTGCAGCACACTTGACAGAATCATCACACGCACACTCAGGGCCGAATGGTTTAACGGCTCGAAACACAACTCAGACTGTAGCATGCTGTCCATCCTCAGTCTGTGCTGCATATGAGCCGCTCATCAATGCAGCGTGCGTCTTGTAAATTTCCATTCTGTCGTAAGTTGTCCATTTTTGTTTGTGCTATATTTCAGTCAGTGCCGCTATTTGGCCTAATTGCCAGATTTGCCTTCGTCGGACGTTCAGACGGGATTTTCGCACGGATCTGATGTCCAGACGATAACAAATGACGTGCCCGAAAGATCTGACGAAATTTGCTCGTTTACTGTCCTGCTCGTGCAGGGCGGCATTCTCCACCCTTGCTGATGTGTCGAGGGGCTGTTCACGTGCCCTGGCTTTCTCAATGGGGTGGAGGCACTGACCCGAAGTTTTTGTCTGCTAGCGGACAATGGGTTCAAACCGGGCCACGTGAATCCGGGCCGCTACATTTCTTACTCAGCTTTCCCGGGTGTTTTTCAGGTATCACCTGCCCGGCAAACCGGGTCCTTAAGGATTTGACTCTGCCCTTTCAGGCTTGCTGTTCAAGTCCCCTGGCTGCACCAGCGTGCCCCCCTTGCCATTTCGCCAGGCTATTGCAGGCTTCCCTCAATCGCCCAGCTCAGCTCTCCTGTATTTCCATGCGGGCGCTGAAGCACCTCGAGGCATTCCTCCCACAAATCCCCAACCAAGTAAGAACTCCAAGCCACAGGCATTCCTCCCACACCCCTCGCAACCCAGAAATTTTATCTAAGTCCTCACAAACAGTGAGCAGATCGGAAACAGAACCCCACAGCTGGAGTAACGGTACTGTTACGATTTCTACACAGTAACCACAAAGTAAGGTACTCTGTTGTGCGTGAATTGAGTGTCACGCACCCACACTCTCTTCCGGATTTGAGTTGAATGACTGGGTGTAGCAGGTCCCGCGTACTCCTCCCTCAAATAACAGCTGCTCAACCAAAAGCTGCGTATGAGTATTTAGGGGAGCCATTGTCTCCCCCACGTCATCTTGTGCTGCTGCGTCTCTGCTTCCATTCCTCAACCCTTTTTCTCCTCTCACCTGCCGCCGCCTCCCTTCCCTTTTCTCCTGCCTAATCACTTTGGTCTCCCCTAAACCCCCTGTAGGTTTCCGCAAGGGTAAGGGGGGCAAGGGCGGAGGGAGGGGGGGGGGTTGGAGCAAGGGCCGTCAACTATGGCAAGGGGCTGGGCTTCTAGGAGGGGGGAAGGGGAGGGGAAGGCGGAGGGGGGGCGGAGGGGGAGGAGGGAGTGGAGGGGGGAGAGGTATAAGGGCGAAAGGGGGAGGAAAAAGAGGTGGGTCGAATGCGTTTGTGTCGGGAGGGTCTTTGGGTGTTGCATTGCCGGCACCACTGGTGTGCTGGTAGTGATGGTGCCACTGCTGGTGCAGGTGCTGCTTCAGCTTCTACAGCCGGTGGCAGCAGCAGGGCGAACACGCAGGTAGGAGCGGTGGACGCGTTTCGAGTGGGCATGATTGCCAAGTTTAAGTCCTCCTTTGTTGCTGCCTTCCACCCCCCACCCCCACGACCCCGTCCCTGACCTCCCCCCTCCGCCGCCTCCCCCTGCTGCTCCTGCTGCTCCTCCGGCTCCCTCTCTTCCTCCTCCGCCGCGTCTTCCTGCTGTGCTTGCTTCAGCACCAGCAGCACCAGCAACGCAAGCCCCAGCATGGGGGCCAGGCACCGGTGCTGCTGATGGCCAGATTATGGGGGCAGACGCAGTGGCAGCAGCCATAGCAGCGGCTGCAGCCAAGGCGGCCACGATTGCAGCCAGCCTGGGCCTGCAGCAGCCCCCTACAGGAGAAGGAGTGGGAGGAGGGGCGGTGATGGGGCCAGTTTCAGGCATGGGTGCACCTGCAGGTGGCATTGATGGTCATGGTCAGGAGAGGGGCCGGGATAGAGATAGGGACAGAGAGGGTGAGAGGGAGAGGGATCGGGAAAGGGAAAGATACAGAGATGGGAGAGAGGGAAGTGACAGGGATAGGGACAGATACGGGGAGAGGGAGCGCGACACGCACTGGGACAGGGATTGCGATAGGGATAGGTATGGGGAGAGAGAGCGGGACAGGGGACGTGACAGGGACATGGATAGGGAGCGAGAGGAGGGGGTAGGGAGGGGGGCAGGGGGCGGGGGGATGAAGGGAGGAGGTCGCGGCGGCGGCATGACAGCCAGTGGCAGCAGTCAAGCCGATGGGGGTGAGGGGGAAGAGTCATGGCTAGGCGAGCGTTGTAAGGTGCAGGTGGATGCAATCAATGTGAAGTAGTGATTGCTTGGGCTCAAGCTGCCTTGCACGTGGTCCTCATCAGGCCTGTCGTTATCAGGGTATTTTACCCTGATTCCCTGATTTCACAGGGTATTTTTTTGGCCAACCCTTAATTTTCAGGGTTGGGCTTTTTTGAACCCTAACCTCTTCAGGGTTGTATGTCTGTGAACACTGAGAATTTTAGGGTTTGCGTTATCCCAACACTGAGTTTTCAGGGAGTAACGCGTACGAACCCTGAGTGCGACATCCATGTGGCTCACAATGCGGAAATTTAGGCGAAGTCCCCAATCTCCAGAGACATTCCCCCCCACACGCAACAACCTACAAAAATTGGTGAAGTCCTCAAACATTCCCTCACACACCAAGCAACCCACAAAAATCGGCTAAGTCATGTATCGTACAGACATCCCCCTTACACACCTAACAACAACCCACAAAAATTAGCTAAGTCTTGATAGGCAGTGACAGCACAAAAAAAAAACGGCTTGTACACAAGTTATCCCCCCTCCCATACTCCCACTACCCATTAAAAAGGCTAATGGTCAAGTCATAGAAGGGTACTAGCGACAATGCTCCCTTCTTAAGGAAAGTTTTTTTATTGCCCGTGTGGTCAACTGAAAGTCCATCAAACTTTGACGGCCACGATCAATCGCGTTCGTTTCGACAAATTTCAGCCGTTAGATGATCGCGTATGATTAACGTCCTCGATTTGCCCATGGCGCTGCAAGCGTGAGAGGTTTCTGCCACTGCCCCATTCGCTTCGATCCCCACCTCTCCCTCAGTTTCGCTTCCCCTCTCCCCTCTGTTTCGATTCCCCCTTCCCCTCTGTTTCGATTCCCCCTTCCCCTCCGTTTCGCTTCTCCCATTCCTCTCTACTGTATTTCGAAACCCCCCCCTCCCCCCACTTTTTCCCTCCCCGTTTCGCTTCCTCTCTTCCCCTATGTTTCCATCCTCCCCCTTCCCCTCCGTTTCGCTCTTCCCCTCCCCTCGGTTTGATTCCCTCCCCTTTTTCCCCCCATTTTTTATTCCCCCCTCGTGTTGAACGCAACCCTGAATGCGTTCGGTGAACCCTGGGATTTTCAGGGTTCTTGATTTCTGAACACTTACAAATAAGGGTAGGCAAATTTTGAACATTGAGCCCTCAGGGTAAATTTTTTTTTTTTGTCGACAGCTCAGGGGGGTTTTTTTTTAAACGTCAGGCCTGGTCCTCATGGTTCTGCTGCCCCTTGGTTGGCCAATGGCCACTCTGTTCGGAATCGGTCGGTAAGGATGGTAACACACGTCAGCAGCATGCGAAAACTCTACACACAGCTGTAGCTGATGCGGTTGCTGTTGTGGTTAAATCTGCGCTTTGTATACTAGAAAGAATGTGGCCCCAGAGGAGTCTTTCCCCCAACGTGCTGTTTGGCTTTGCTTGCAGTGCCATGCTGCTTCCCATTAGTTGTTCTTGTGTGAATGCGCCAAGAATAGAGAAATCAAATGCCGGTATGCGATAGTTGTATTGCGAATTCGCTGCAAAGATGTTAATTTGTGCATAATCATTGTTAATCCTTGTAGATCATTTTGTAGAAACTCCATTTGTATTGATTCGCTATTAGAACTAGTATATATTCGTATTGGTTTTTTGTTCCGCTGTTGTCTGACTTGCTGGGAACCGCGTCGGGCAATAGGAGAGTTCGGATCTCCATAGCTTTCCCACATACTTCATGTCCACGTTAGAGATAGATTCTTAGCAGCCAGCGCTCCGTACTAGAGTAGTACGCTCTATCCTCTGGGCCATAGAATCTAGAAATCTCTTTTCAGTCTAAGACCCGGTCCGTCTCTTCTTCGCGCTAGTATAACACCGGCCGATCCGCCTGTTCGCGCTATAATTAGAACCGTTGATTCTCCATGTCGGTGAGTGAGTTGCACCTGAGGCTTCCTTCCCGCCATTCGTGCTGTCCGATCGAGTCTTAGGACGTTTCGGCGTCCGTGTTTGACTGGAACGGACCTGCGTGGTTGCCTAAGATTTCTCGTAGCCGTTCCAACTCCGCGTTCTCGCTAACCCTGAATTTGACCGTTGATTTGAATCACCGCCATCTGAAGGCGTGTGTCTTACGGTTCCTCTTCTGGAAGTTCCGGAACTGGCGAAGATTTCGCCTGGGGAGGAGCTCGCGAAGCCCTGTCGAAATGTGCTGCGAACTGTGTTACCAGCCCAAGTTCCGGAACTTGCTGAGTTCCGGAACTGTAAGACACACGCCTTGAGGCCGTCGATCTGCAAACCAATCCTCTGCGATCAGAGGCCGTCAATTAGAGGCCGTCAATCATCGCCTAGAGGCCGTCGTTTCGCGTAGAGCTGCCATCGCGCGTGCGATCACGTCGTACAACCCGTCCTGCCGCCTCCTCCTCCCGCCTTTTCCCTATCCAGATCACGTCGTACAACGGCGGGGCGGTCGTCGCAATGAAGGGCGACAAGTGCGTGGCGATCGCGTGCGACCGTCGCTTCGGCGTGCAGCTGCAGACGCTGGCGACGGACTTCAACCGCGTGTTTCAGATGCACGACCGGCTCTTCATCGGGATCGCCGGGCTCGGCACCGACGTGCAGACGCTGTGAGTGCCTGCGGGGAGTGCTGCGAGGCTGTGAGGGGGAGGGGGGGGGGGGCACCTGAGTGCAGCTGCAGACGCTGTGAGTATCTGCAGGGAGTGCTGCGAGACTGTGAGAGGTCAGGAGAGAGGCCGGGATGCAACTGCGCAGGGGGACACCCGAGTGCAGCTGCAGGCCCTGGCGACGGGCTTCAACCTTGGTTGCAGCCAGATGCACGGCCGGCTTTTCAACGGCATCTGAGGGCGTGGGACCGACGTGCAGACTCTGTGAGAGAGCGGTTAAGGGTGGGGAGATGGGGATTGTGAGTGCCGGTGCAGGCAGGTGCAGCCCCTGGCGAGGGGCGACAACCGCTTGTTTCCGACTTGAATCCTCGACCGGCGGACGAGTCACGAGCGGACGACCGGCGGACGACCAGCGGACGAGTCACGAGCGGTTCCTTGGGATCTCCGGCCTTGGCACCCACGTGTGTAGCGGGAGGCAGGGGGAGGGAAGGCAGGGGGAGGAGGAACTCCAGGAGGATAGCGGGTGCAGAGGCTGGCGACGGGGGCTTCAATGGAATCTCCCACATCCACAACGGGCCCTTCCTACAGCATGTTGCACTTGGCGCTGACGTCTGGACACGGTGAGTTGTACTGTGTGTGAGGGGGAGAGGGAGAGGGAGAGGGAGAGGGAGAGGGAGAGGGAGAGGGAGAGGGAGAGGGAGGGTTACCCGAGTGCAGCTGCAGGCACTTGCGGCGACTTGAGCCGCGTCTTCCAGACGCTGCGATGCACGACGGACTGTTCATCGCCACCTCCAGCCTTGCAACCGACGTGCAGACGTTGTGAGTACAACGAGGGGATACCTGGAGAGGTACCTGGAGGGATACCTGGAGGGATACCTGGAGGGTTACCTGGAGAGATACCTGGAGGGATACCTGGAGGGATACCTGGAGGGATACCTGGAGAGGTACCTGGAGGGATACCTGGAGGGATACCTGGAGGGATACCTGGAGGGTTACCTGGAGGGATACCTGGAGGGATACCTGGAGGGTTACCTGGAGGGATACCTGGAGGGACACCTGGAGGGTTACCTGGAGGGATACCTGGAGGGATACCTGGAGGGATACCTGGAGGGCTACCTAGCGGCAGCTTTCCACAGCGTGTTCCACATGCACCTCTGGCGCTTCCTAACGATCTCAGGGCTCGGGGCTCGGAGCTCTGTGAGTATTAGGGGGAGCTGGGGAGAGGGGCGGAGGAGGGAGAGAGGCTTTTAAGTTCTCCCACTATTGTCACACCTGGTATTGTCTCACTCCCTATTCTTTTAACCCCCTTGTCACACACACCCGCTGAGCAAGCAGCGCCTTCAGTTGCGCCACAAGCTCATCTCTCTTGTCAGCTCTATCCTCCTGTTGTCTCACATCGTATCGCCACAACCCTTCCCTACGGTCTCACCCTTTTCACAATGTCTCTTCTCCTCGCGCCCCACCACCACAGCAAGCACCGCCTGCAGTTTCGCCACAAGCTCTTCTCCCTGCGAGAGGACAGAGTCATGCCGCCCAGCACATTCGCCCGCCTTGTCAGCTCCATCCTCTACGAGCGCAGGTACGGCTTTGACTGCAGCACGTCCTGTTGACCCTGGGCCTTGTCAGCTCCATCCATTATGAACCAAGGTGCGTGCGCCATCCTCTCCCTGCACCACGCCGTTTTCCTCGTCAGCACCGTCCTCTACGAGCACTGTCCTCTACGAGCACTGTCCTCTACGAGCACTGTCCTCCACGAGCGCAGGTACAGTGGTTGCGTGCGTCGTCTCTCAACCACAAAGATGTCGTGGCTGTTCGCGTCATCTTCCAAGGTCCAAGGTCCAAGGTAACGAGGGAGAGAGGTATCGCTAGACGTGAGAGGACCGGGTCGTGAGAGGACCGGGTCGTGAGAGGACCGGGTCGTGAGAGGACCGGGTCGTGAGAGGACCGGGTCGTGAGAGGACCGGGTCGTGAAATAAGGAGTATTAATGTTTTCCGTTTCCCATACTTATCTCTCCCGAACTTGTGTCTTTCCCTTACCTGCCTCTTTCCCATGCCTGCCCCTTCTCCCATGCCTGGCCATCAGGTTCGGGCCGTACTTCATCGAGCCTGTGATTGCAGGCTTGGAGGAGGATGGCACTCCCTTCATCTGCGCCACTGACCTCATCGGCGCCTAGTGAGTGCCGCTGCTGCGTCCTCTGCTGCATACGGTGTTCTTTAGGATCCATCCTGTCTATTTCCTCTTTAGGATCCATCCTGTGTGCCCCCTCCTCTTTCGCCCTTCATCTGCGCCACTGACCTCATCGGTGCATAGTGAGAGCTGCTGCTGTCTCCCCTGTCATTGATACATTCCGTGTTGGTGCTGTGCGGTTTTAAAACTGACTCACAAGTCATACCCCACTACACACCGCACACAAGCCGTTGTTCGGCACGTGCAAGTCGTACTGGCAACCGGGCTGTAAAGTCCCTGTAAGGTTGACTCACAAGTCATTCGCCCCTCCCCTCCCTTTCATCCTCCCCCTTCTCCCCACCAGCGAGGAATGCCCAGAGTTTGGAGTAGCGGGAACGGCGGACGAGTCCTTGTTTGGCGCGTGCGAGTCGTACTGGCAGCCGGGGCTGCAGCCAGAGGAGCTGTTTGAAACCATCTCCCAGGCGCTGCTGGCAGCTGTGGACAGAGACGCGCTCAGTGGATGGGGGGCCACTGTTCACGTCATGTGAGTGGTAGAGCATGCGTGTGAGTGGTAGAGCATGGCATGTGAGTGGTAAAGCATGGCGTGTGAGTGGTAAAGGGGATGTGGTGTGAGGGGGCCACCGTGCATGTTGTGTGAGTGGATGGGTGGTCTGCATGTGATTGAAACCATCTCCCAGGCGCTGCTGGCAGATGTGGGCAGAGAGTGGATGGAGGGGATATTGTGCATGTCATGCAAGTGGTGAAGTGCATGTCATGCAAGTGGTGAAGTGCATGTCATGCAAATGGTGAAGTGCATGTCATGCAAATGGTGAAGTGCATGTCATGCGAGTGGTGAAGTGCATGTCATGCGAGTGGTGAAGTGCATGTCATGCAATTGGTGAAGTGCATGTCATGTGACGAGTGGGCCATTGCATGTTATGGTAGTGGTGTGCTTTTCTTTTAACATTACTGTCTGGTCATCCTCCTGCCGTCATGCCCACCTTTCTGACCCCCTGCTTCTCGGTTCCGTGCAGCACACTTGATAAAATTATCACACGCACACTCAAAGGCCGAATGGACTAAGGGTTGGACATGCACAGCATGGTAGTATCATGGCTACTAATTTTGGAACAATTGGAATGGGCTTGGCTATTGCCCTATGGATATTGCTTGCACATTGTAGCATATTGGTCATCCACATGTGCTGTTATTTTTGTGTTTTCTTTTTTGTTGGTAGCCCTTTATGCGTCATCCACCTTTGAACTCCTCATAGATATACATCAATTGTCACCCATGAAATTGCTATGGCGACCCTAGCGATTTCTATATGCTGCTATTGCAACCTACAACGCGACATTTGGTCTCATCAAGCGTAATGCCTACAGAGACTTTCCCCACCCCGCCGTCAACGGAGTCAACAATTGCGTCAGCGGCGAGGGACGGACAGAGGGGCACATCTCGCCCAGCCCGCTGGCATCCGCGAACCTCGTTCACCTGTCTGGCGAGCTCGGTAGCTGGGGCCTGGTTACAGCGTCGCAAGCGTCGCATAAAATTCGTAGGCAGCTCTCATTGGATGAGGTACGGGTTGCGAGGATCGCGAACCGGGAAAGCGCCAGCCCGCGCAGAGAGGGTTTTCGGCGAAGGAAGGCGTCTCTCAGAACTTGCCTTCCTTTCCACATACCAGCTCAGCCTTCCTTCCTTTGCTCAGCAATGTGGCTCATTACGCTGCTCAAATTTCCTTGCTCAACTCACAGCCATTTCTCAAATTTCCGCACCCATTTTCGACCTCCTGTCTGGCTAGCATGCAACGCCTTTCTTTCTCCTGTTGGCCGTTCGCCGAACTCCCGTCGTTGGATTGTTGACGAAACAGCCGCTTCGCCAGAGACTACTATAGTAGTTGCACGTACCTCCTCGCAGCTGGCCGCTCAGCGGGTGGTACGTAGTCACCATGGTGGTCTTTCAATAGTAGAAGTACTACGGATCCCAAACTCGAAACCTTCAAGCCAGAATATTCCTCCTCTCAGGAGACCAGCAACGAGCCACGACCAAATATCGGTTCGATGGAGCGCCGCGCAGCGCTTCATCTTTGCGCGTTGTTCCTGCTGACGTGTCTCGCGGTCTCACGAGTCAACTCCACGCGGTTCGAATACTACCAAGGTCGGGCTCTGAATGATCAGACTTTGATTTCCCTCCGTTGCTCACAATAATTTTCAGAACGGTGTCTTTGCAAACGACAGACATGCCAGTGGTCTGCACTTAGTAGCTGCATGACTTCACAATTAAGACGTTGAGGAGAGTAAGACACTATTTTTGGTCCGAAACAAGTCCTGTGAAGGAAAATGAGACAAACGTCGGTTTAAATTTTGAATATCGGACTCATTAACTTAGGTAGGACCTCAAACAGCAGTTCTCAATGATGGAGTTGACCCTAACTTGTATGTTGGATACCAGAATGTAACATTTGCTGAACCCAAAGGGTATTTAACCCCCCTTACGCTCAATGGCCTATGGGAGTGAGGTGCTACGCGCAAATGGTATCGTATACGTGCAATCGGATTGCTGTCGGAGCACCATCCTGGAAGGGGAGTCCCTCCTTCGCCAAGAGAAGGCGTCGCCCTTCCCCAAGTCGCAGTGCCGTTGGCAACGGTCAGACAGAAGGCGTGCAGCACGGACCTCCACACTTGGGAGGGCGCACATGAGCGGGCTGGCCTGCCAACAACTGTCTCCTGTTTTCCACCTGCTCCCCTCCTGTCGTGCTTGCCCGCAGGTCTGTACCTTAGAGAGCTCCAGAAGGACTGGGGCACGTATTTCACCGACTGGGTGGTTGGCGGAGAGTGCAGCAACGCAAGCTTTGTTGCGTGCGATGCCCAGGGCATGATAACCAGCATGTGAGTGACCGCTTGAGAATACTCTGCCTTGTATTACTTTGTCCCTTTCCTTCCCCTCCCTCCTTCCTTCCTTATGTCCTTCCCTCCTCTGCTCCGTTACCTTTTCTTCCTCACCCCCTCCTTCCCTTATCGATTTCCCCCTTTCCTCCTAACGGGAAGCACAGCCTGCCACTTGGCTGTGTCAGAGGGCGTGCCATTGCAGCAACTCACAAAGCTAGCAATCCCCCAATCGCCAACATAACACCTCCACCATCCCCCCCCGCCTCCCTCTCTCCCCTAACTGCCTTTCATTTCTCCCTCCCACACTCCTTCCACTCCCACTTTACTCCCCCCTTTCCTCTCCCTCCAGAACATTGTTTCGTGTTGAAACGAGGTGGCAATCAGCGTAAATGCTCACACTGGCCACCCTTACCTGTTAGACATGGTTGAAGTGCGATGCGATAGAATATCGCATCGCACCGTTTGCAATAGCGATTAACATCGCGCGATATTATATCGCATCGCCTGCGTTTTTTTTTTGGAAACTCAATATTGCATATCGCATTTCAGGTGCGATATGTGATTATATCGCACGTGAAAAATGCGATATATGGCGCGATGCGATATTATATTGCATCGCATTTGAGGCAGGGCTCCAAAACCCACCATGGAAAAAAAGGCAGAGATGAATACGAGTCATAATCATTACTGCAGGGGGTATACTCCCACTAAGTATCAGTTTAGAGGCACACAGCTGCGAGCCCCCGTGGTATGGGGGCCCGACTTTTGTCCAGGAAATTTCGAACATGGTATAAGATTAGGGGGAGGGGGGGGGGGGAAGAGGGGGAGGCTCAACGAATCAGAACAACAGATCCACACAACAGAACAGACGAAATTTCAATGGTGAGGTGAGTCAAAAGAGCATAGCTAGCAATGTTCACAACCCTGGATCGATCTCCAGGCCCAGCTCCCAGTCCGCGTCCTCCCCCTCCTCCCTCCGCCCCCCTACCGGCACGCCATCCAGGCGCTGCCCTGGGTGAGATGCGATCCAGGACTTGAGCATCATGCAAGCCCGGATACGCTACCTCCCTAGGCGGTGCCGCTGCCAGTGGATGAGGTTGCGGCCCTGGGAAAATAGTCGCTCGCATGGCGCGGAGGTCGCAGGGATGGCAAGATAATCCATCGCCATCCGCCACAAGACTGGGAGCTCCTTGCGGTACCACCAGAACTGCAAGGGGCAGTCCGACAAATCCTTCAAGGGCAGCTCCAGATACACCTGGATCTCATCCATGAGGTGGCCGCACCTTAAAAACTCTGTCGGCGATTAAACCCTAGAGCATGCGCCCATAATCTACGGTTAAATTTGGGTTCTAACTTGGAGGTGGTGTGTTTGAGAGAGAGACCAAATGCCCAAAAACGAGTTGAAACTCAAATTCGGCTAGGGAGAATTTGGGTTTCGCATTTTTGGGGGTTTGGTTTCCCCCCCCTGTGCTGGCGAATTCGCGAGGCGCGATACGCGGAACATCGCGTGCGATATCAAATATCACATATCACATTTATATCACGGGTAAAAAACGCGAAATAAATGCGATATAAAAAAACTGAGTGATGTATATCGCATCACAAGGTGCGATATAAACTCAAAAAAAACATCATATCGCTATCAAATGCGATGCGATATATGCAATATAATATCGCACGATGCAATGCCATGTAATCACGTCTATTACCTGTTCTGAGCAGTTTTTTTCTCTTGTTGTGTCTAACTTATACTTTCTTGCCTCTGTGCACTTGCGCTCCCCTTCTCGTTCTTGTTACCCATGGAGTCCATATCGTTCCCCATTAGGTATTTAGGATTGCGCAACTTGAAAGGATCGATTCCCCCAACCATTGGCAGCTTGACCAAGCTGGCAGAACTGTCCGTATCCGTATTGTAATGATCCATGGTATCAGGGTTTAACATGGGCAATCATGCCCACAATAGCAAGGTGGCTATTGACAATGCCCACACTCGCTGCCCTTGCCCCTGCTGAATGATGCTTGCCCCTGCTGAAAAATGCTTGCCCCTGCTGAATAATGCTTGCCCCTGCTGAATAATGCTTGCCCCTACTGAATAATGCTTGCCCCTGCTGAATAATGCTTGCCCTCTCCTCTTCCATTCATGCAATCATCTCCTCTTCCATTCATGCAATCATCTCCTCTTCCATTCATGCAATCATCTCGCACCCATCAGGGACCTGTCAGAGAACATGTTGAGTGGACCTATTCCATCGACCATCGTTTCCTTGTCCACACTATCGCATTTGTAACATCCTTCATCAGCATACTGCTTTTCTCTCCCCTATTCGTCTCTGGTTTACTCAGTTGGTGGCAAACTACTGACAACTTAGGGCTCGTGCTTTGATTTCTCTATTGTGCTTGGTACTCCGCCTTAGGGCCAAAGGGAAGGTCTTTTGGAGCCTCAATTGTCCACCCTAGTTTGTCATACGTAGGACGTTAACACAACATCCTAATCAGCTTCTCTTGCTTGTGCTGGTCGAATATTCTCCTTCATAATGTGTGCACTTGGATCCCCGGCACTTGCCTCTGTGCGCCCTCTCCCCTCTTCGCTTCCTCGTGACCCGTCAGGGATTTACACTCGAACCAGCTAACCGGATCTATTCCATCAACCATTGGCAGCTTGAGCGAGCTGACTTATCTGTGAGTATGCGCGCAGCGCAAATATTTTCACATGTGTGAGCGCTGTTCATAACTAACCCGCCATGGCTATACCCTAAACTCGTTCTGGTGGCACCTCTCGGAGTAGTTAGCTCAACGTACGGATCAGCTGATTACACTGGAGCACGGATATTGTGAAGGATAGGGGCTACAGGAGAGCGAAGAAAATATTATACCATGTGGTTGCACTTACGGCTGGCAGGATAGGATGGGCATTGAGGTACGAAGGGGAAGCGAAGCTGATTGGGGGTGTGGAAAGAGAGATGAGGTGAGGTGGGGCAGAAGCCTAGACCAGGACGAGTTTAGCAAGAGTTCGCTGGGCCAGTGGACAGTGGACACTTGCTAAACTCTTCAGGGCCAGTGGACAGTTCAGTAAGGTCTGGGGCGTTTGCGTGTGCGACTCGTGTGAAGCGCCTTGCAAGAAGCGCAGCTATCATTCTTTAACTCCAATACTAGCATGTCTGACATGTCTGCTTTTCACTAGCTCTCATGTTCAGCATTGTCACATGGTGCTTTTCTCCTTTGGCCATTCCCTGAGATCTCCTTGATAGCACCCTCTTGGAGTGCTTGGTTCAACTTACAGACCAGCTACTACACTAAATCAGCGAATACCAAGAAGGAGAAGAGGTTGTGAGATAAAGAGGGATAATCTTACCAAGGGGATGGACTTACAGACCATTGAAAGAGGACGGAAGCAGAGGAAGAAGGGGGAAAAACGTGCTGAGTGGGAATGGAGAATGAGAGATAAGGGTGGGGGGGTTCAGACCCATGAAGTGTTGAGAGAGGGTCGAGGCGTTTGTGTGTTTGATTCAACGTGAAACGCGTGCAACGCCTTGCACGAAGCGCACTTTGCATCTTAGAGATTCCAAGAGCTTCTGCTTCTGCTTGCCAAGATCATGGCATGGAGAAGATGGTGTCAGCATTTCGTTTTACAAGCACCTGGTGTCTCTTTCGTGAGAAATCAGGGCCCAAAGCTTGTTGTGGCGATATTCTAGGGGCGCAATGGGCAACAGTTACCCGAAGGCCATTGTGAAGTTAGCTGCTGAGAATTCCACCAACGACTTTAATTCATGTGCACGTCCTAAATATGCTCTATACAGCTTTCCCATCGTTCTTGTTGGTTCTTGCCAACATACTCTATAATAAAAAACGTGGTCGCTACTGAGTCTAATGCCTGCATGATATCCCTCCCTTTGCATTATTCCCCTGGCCCTGCGTGCAAGCTCACTATCACTCATCTCTGTCCTCCCTCTCCAATACCCACAATGTCCGCCTCACGCGCCCCGTCAGGAATCTGGAAGGGAACAACTTTGATGGTCCTATTCCACCAGCCATCGGCAACTTGGGCAACCTGCTCACCCTGTCAGTACCCCCCATGAGCACACTGCTTTTCTCTCTTACTTATTCAATGGGCTCTGACCACAGAGAGCCCAAGTGCGCAGCAAGCAAGTCGATCCTCGCACACAATTCTCCTGTGCTGCGAATAAATACTTGAGGCTTTGAATGCTGCTGTGCAGTTGCTTAGTAACCTAGTCTGTCAGCGCACCAAGGGGTCATTCATTCTGAACCTTTCACTACCTCACCATACTCAAACTCATTATCAGTAGTCTCTTAGTAATGCATACCCTTACCGCCCCAGAAATGCCAGAGTTTACTGTTGCTATCGTACCTTTTGTCTCTTCGTATTGCTGGTATGTAGGCAAAGTACTTCCATGTTGATGATACCACAAGGCTCTCGCTTTCCAATCGTGGGGGAACTAATATGCTCCATCTCCACGTGCAGCTACGCAGATGGACCATGCCCACCTGACTATGACAGCTGCATGGTCACACAAGACACTTCAAGTGCTTTTTGCCAAAAATGCTCCTCCTTCTGTGACAAATGTGACAAGCTAACACCAGGTGAGAAGAATCATCGTAGGTCGTTTCTTGCTGCGGAATTCCACCTCGCACCCCTGAATGTGCTAAGGAAAGACTTGAGCTGTATGGTGCATATCCATTGACTCCCTTCTTTTGGAAAATTCAATCTCTATAATTGAATGTCCTCTCTTGATAGAATTCAATTCTTGACGTTCTCTTACTTAGCAGTGTCAATTTCTCTGCACTAATTTCGATAGAATTAATTTCTAAGTAGCATTCATTTCTTGATGATCTCTTTTTTTCCCCAAAACAGGAGCCATCGCTGGCATTGTTGTTGCTGTCATGCTTTTCCTTGTGGTGGTGGTCGCCGTGCTGGTATGGAGGAGAGGCTGCTGCCATAAAGCAGAGGCAACATATAAGGAGAACAAGGACGCCGTGCCAGCTAAGGGCTCCCAAGGTATACTTTCTCTCCCACGAGGATGCCATTTGTATGAGGTGCAGAAGTGTAGACAAGGCAAACGCTAGTGCTTAACCCGCCAATGTGCCCCAAAAGGTATTTCAAATGACACCTTCAATACCGGGCGGAGCTCGCCAACAGTAAGGGGGAATGAGAGAGCGTGCTTGCGGGTTAGCATGCGCCCACACATAGACATGCTAGCCCAACACTTTCTCTGCATTAACTTGCCCATTATTAACCTTCTCTTTGTTAAAGAGCTTAGGAGCTAGCTAGGCATAGGAAAGGTCGAGAGGTTTTAGCTAGAGACAGAAATTGACAATAGAAAAGAGAGTCGACTAGGAAGAGATACAAGAAGGGGGGGTTGTCCCCTCTACGGTAGGATCCAGTAATGTAGCACATCTACCAAGCCTAAACAAATATATATAGGAAATATATATAATTTGACACTCTTCCCCCATTTCCATGTTCTATCTTCGCTGTTCGTGAACCCAAATTCCCGTCACTTTCTCGCTAACGGGCAGAACGACGTGGGGGGAGGGAGGATCCTGAATCATTAGCAGCAGCCATGGCAACAGCAGCAGCAGGAGGGAGAAACGATGATGTGGCGGTGGAGATGGAGGCAGCGCGGCCACATGTGTGCCAGGAGTACTCCCTGGAAGAGCTGGCAAAGGCAACGGCGGATTGGGCAGAGGAGAACAGGATTGGCAGCGGCAGCTTTGGGGATGTCTACAAGGGCGTGTCTCCCCACAGCTGCACGCAAGTATGGGCAGTCAAACGAGCCAGAGTGCTCACCAACGACTTTTTGACAGAGGTATGATGGTTTCAGGCTGTTGGGTGTCATGGAATTTCTTGGAGAATATTAGATCGGCTATTTCTCCAATATCCTTTGATTGATTTTCACTTCTAAAGTAAACCGCACCTTTACTTCTCGAATATGCTAGGCTCGTCCTTGTCTAAAATGTTAGGGAGTATTCCTACTGCATCACGTCTGACCCACATTGGTCCGCACTCATCTGAAATGCTTCGAACCAAATGATTAGACATGTGCACGGTGCAATAGCGTGCAGATCTGGCACGAAGTCAGTATGATGCAGGAATAACCCTAAGTGAATACTAGCTTCTTTGGCCGAGTATTCCCTCTATAATTATTGCTAATATATTTCATTCTTTGTGAGCTCAAACACCGTTCCTAAAACATGAGGATGTACAAATTCGACAAAATCAACACCCTTCGCTTTCTCCCTTCACCCCCTCAGGTGAAGGAGATGGCCAGCAAGCACCACCCCCATCTTGTGCGGCTACTTGGATATTGTATGGATATGAACACAACCACAAGGCACATAGAGCAAATCTTGATCTACGAGTACATGGAGAACAATGACCTTGAAAGTTGGATCGGACCAAGTGACTCTAACATTCTTTCCCTGCGGCAACGGCTGGACGTTCTGATTGGAGTGGCAAAGGGGCTGCAGTACCTTCATGACTTTGGCATTGTGCATCGCGACATCAAGCCAGCCAACATTCTACTCGACGGAAAAATGCAGGCACGTTCATATTTCTCCAATTTTCTCATTTGTTCACTAATTGAGTGTGCCAGCCTTGCCTTGTCTTGTTCTATCGAGAAGGCTTCTATCTAGCTGTCTTGTCCATAAGCACGCTTCTTACATGTATGTATGTGTTTTTTTCTATTGTTGAGCAGGCCAAGATAGCGGACTTTGGACTGGTGAAGTTAAGTGGTGGGACCTCCATGGGGACGTCTGTGGCGGCCACTCGAGTGATGGGAACACCAGGCTATGTGGACCCCGCCTACTACAAGACACACAAGGCCACCCCAGCAGCAGACGTGCACAGGTGAGTGCTTTTACTTCATACACGCAATTGGTGTGGAAAGTGTTTGAAGGGCAAGAAGCAAAGACTTTAAATAACAGTAAGCTATGTGTCATTCCTTTTTATGACGGACGCATGAGAATCATTCACCCTTGACATTGTCAAAATGATTTCAATTTCAGACATCCAGATTTGTGTGTGGTACTAGATCAACCATAATATTCATGTCTCGATAAAACTTCAGATTGACTAGGTGTTTACAAGCATATGTGCAATATGCATACTTGTACCAACCCCCAATCGATGGCAATATATGTCCAGTCAACATTTTGTAAGGCGTTAGTGAGCCGAGACACTAAGCTTCAAACATGTATGTGGTGTTCCTTTTCTGGCATTAGCAGCTTCGGAGTGGTGATGCTGGTGGTCATCACGGCACGCAAGGCTGTTCACGTGACAGAGGACAGCCAGATCAGCCTCAAGCAATGGGTGAGCCTTCAATGCATCATACTATCATGCAGCGACCAGGAGTCGTGTGTTCGTGTTTGTCAACTAAAGAGTGTTTAGCATTGCAGCAAAGTGAATCTTTCATATACCGCATCTCTATCCCACCCTGCAGGTGGCTCCATTGGTGGCGTCCAGCACCGTGGCGGCATTCAAGGACCCTCACATGGATGCACCAGATGACTTGGTGCTGCGCATTGCTCGCCTTGCCCTCACCTGCACTGCCATGCCCACTGCCTCCCGCCCCTTCATGGGTCGAGTGCTGGGCGATCTGCTGGCGCTGAGGGAGGAGGTGCTTGGGGGTGAGGCGCACAGAGCTGCATGCCGCATTGACAGGGAGATTGGCGCCTCAGCTGACTCGGATTTTGATGCCCAGATGGCTCGTGTGGAGCAGATGGTTGTGCAAAGTGGCTCTTCCACCAGCGTCTGATCTGCATAGCATGGAGTAAAGTAAAAAGCAATATATTTTACTCCTAGCTTATTGGTGTCAACAAACATATATTTACCGTATATGTAGCGAGGTTAGATATGTTTGTTATAACCTAGCTAGGTCAGCTCTTAGGGTACATTCCTACGACCCACGGCAGTTTGACCTTTCGCCCCTTTTGCCTTTTTTTCCTGAGCCGCGCGGCAGTTTGGTAAAAGCTTTCGTCACATTGCACAACGAGCTTGCGAACCCCTGCGTTATCTAGCCACCTGGCGCGACATGAATGGTACCTCAGTATATGCACACACCGATAGTCGAACAACTTCGTGACACAAATTTAGAATCCGCAAATTTGCTGACCCAGTAAAAATCCGACGGCACAGGAGCGGAGAAAAAAACCAACATTAGTGTTTGAAATACCTCAAGGACTTAAGCGTTTCTGAAGTGTAACACCACACTCGAGGAAGATCGTAATGGGTACGCGAGTCAACGGAGGTTACTCGAGGGGGTGGACAAAGGACTCGAAGGGTCGCAATCGGAGGTTGCGACTGACCGTTACAACTGCAAGTATGGTAACCGAAGCGACAATCGAGTCGCTGTGCGACTCGATAACCACTCCTTCAACTGTATTCTACAACTGCTTGCTTTCCTACTTTCTATATATTGCTGTATGCTTGTTCTTTTAATCAATCACTTGTTCTCATATACTAGTACAAGGGTTCAACTACTCAACTTCCGCTGCACTACTCAAGTCTCCTTTTACAACTGGGTCTCTGAAAGATCCTAAGGGCTTTTCTCAGCCCAACATGGTATGAGAGCTGGTCAGAGACCAAACTCCCAACAACTACGTTCCATCGACAACCAGCACACCAACGACTTCATTGATTACAAGTCATGGACAGAAAAGGCAAGAAAACCTCTACGGGCTCACCCAGCGCCCAAGACACTCAACCCGGCAACTCTGGATTGCACACTTCAGGACTGCAAACCGAGACCGGCGCTGCTCAAGAAACAACAAGAAGAGCACCAGAAATGGTGACCCCATCACCCTCTTCAAGCGTGGACCCGAACCTTATGGAAAGGTTCTTCAGCTTCATGTCGCACTTCGACCAGCAGCAGCAGCAGACAAGGACGCCTGCACATTCAACACAGAGCAACGGAGGAAACATGGGATTAGCGCAGATGAGCCTCGACAACTCATCGTTCGGGCGACACAATCAAGCGCCTACCTTTGCACCTTATCACTTTTCACTGGGGACGTTCAAGTTCATGCCGCCCCGTGCCCAACCAACAGCAGCTGCATCACAACAGACACCAAACGAGATACTTAGTCTCCAGGCGCAGTTTTCACATGTGATCAAACTGCACACATCCTCACCGTTCAACGGACACGACTTCTTTACCTGGAGCTTTGAGTTCGAGCTGCTGATGGAGGCTGCGCATCTCTTGGGATACTTCAACGGGTTCCTGCCATTTCCAAGCAATGGCACTGTGAAAGAGCAAGAAATTTTTACATATCAGTCGCTGCTGGCGTACACAGTCCTCCCGTGGAACCTGTCACCACAAGAACAGCAAAGCATCAGAACGTATCGGAGCTATGGAAACTCCGCGGAACTCGCATGGCATCACCTCAAGTGTCTCTATCAAGCAAACGACAGCGTGACACAAAGCAGACTCATACAGCAACTGACAACAATACAGATGAAGACCGGGGAAAAGGCGATGCAGTATATGAGTCGATGCCAGACACTCCGCGACCGCCTGCTTCGGTGCGGAGGAACAATCACTGAAGAAAGCTTCGTGACGCTTGTCCTCGCTGGGCTCGGGCCAGAATGGAGAACCACCCGCTCGCTCCTTCGCGCCCACGGACGAATCTCGGAGATGCACCTCTGCGCCGAGCTCCATGCTGAACAACAAGAGATGGACCTGTTTGAAGAAAGACAACCAAGGAAGCAGCAACCGTTAGTCTTCTACACTCAACGAAGGAACGACAACAACTACAACCGACGTGGCAGCAAAGATCAACGCGATAACAGAGGACTCACCATTGTGCCGCCGTTCTGCCACAACTGCCAAACATCTGGACACTCCAAAGTCAACTGCACACGTCCCCGAGCTTATCGTCCAGTAGACCCACAAGTCGCTTCCACTCAAGAAAGCCCACCGAGACGTTCCTCCTCATCTGCACAAGGCACACCAAACATCATCAATTGCATGGTACACATCGACCGCTGCGCACCCGGATCACCACCCACTTACGCTCCAGACGAAGAAGAATTGCCGCCGCCACGCTCGCAAGGACTTCAAGTTATCCCGACATACGCTGCAGTCGCCAACGCCGAACCCACCGGACGAAACACCTGGTTCTTGGATAGCTGCTGCGGTCAATACATGTGTTCTTCTGGGCGCTTCGTGCAGCGAGAGCGACGCCTCAACCGCGATGTCATCATCACCGTCGCCAACAACGAGAACCTGAAAACAAACAGACAAGGCGTCGTCCAGCTTCAGTCAATAGAGACGAACGTCATACTACAACTCAACAAAGTTCTAATCGTCGACAACTTGGGATACAACTTACTCAGCGTCAGCCAGTTAATGGCAAAAGGTATTCACCTGGAATGCGACTCGGACTCCAACGAATATTGCCTTTACCACGTGAAGGGGGGTCTTTTCATCGGTCGCGCTCTCCTGAAGTCGGGCGTTTTCGTGTTGGACTTCGTCCCCGACCGCGGTACTGCCGACAGCGATGGCATCGTATCGTTTGCCGCTTGGACGCACCCGCCGGATCTTGACCCCGACTTCATCCCAGATGGTTTCTAGTACTCCAACACCATACCTGCAGCAGAGAGAACACGAGCATTAGCAGTTATTCGACAAGAAAGACAAATACCAGCTAGCGTTCCTTCCTCGATATCACCTGAAGTAACAGCAGCGGGACCCAGCCGAGTACCATCACCAGCAATTCGAGGACCACCAACCGAAGCAGACCAACTTATGCCAATCACACGAGAAGTCTGCCGAAGTCCCGCCACGGTCGTCGCGTTCTTCCCCAACACCGACATGTATCAACGCTCGCCCGGCCATCGCGCTCCCAACGACATCTGGCACCAACGCCTCGGACACCCTGCAAACAGCACAGTACTACAAACCATCCAAGCTGAAGTATTAGAGAGAAACGCTCTTCTTACAACGAGCGGCCAAGAACTTTGACGACCACGTGCACGGTGTTTCACGTGCCCCGAAGCCGATCTTCCCCACCAACCTTTTCCATCACATCACAACCCAAGCGCACCTGCATACGCAACGATGGAAAAAGTTTACAGCGACATCCTAAACATGCCTCGAGACGACACTGAAGCCGACTTCAACTATGTCATCACGTTCATCGATGCAGCAACAAGATATGTCTGGCACTACAACCTCAAGACGCGCGATCAAGCTTTCGAAGCCTTCATGACGTGGCTCCCCATCGCTGAACGAGAATCAGGAACGAAGCTCAAGAGCTTCTAGTCAGACGGCGCACTCGAATACCAGTCACAACGCTTCAGGAACTACTTGGCGGAAAGAGGAATCAGACGACTGGTGTCTCTGCCATACGCTCACCAGCAGCAGGGGGTCGCAGAAAGAATGAACCGGACCTTGCAGACGACGATGCAGAAGCTGCTCCTGGGGATGAGACTGCCCAACGCACTGTGGCCAGACGCGATGACCCATGCAGTCCACCTGCACAATTTGTTATCCTCGTCCTCGCTTCCCAACAACGCATCACCGCACCTGCTGTGGACACGAAAAAGGGGCAGCACAAAATTACTTCGGGTTTTCGGCTGCATGGTACAATACAGACCCCACACAGCCCGAGCAGGACGCTTCACTCAATGAGCAAGGTGGGGACTACACCTTGGCATCGCCAAACATTTCCAAGCATGGAAACTCCTCGACATACAAGACAAAAATACCGTGGCATCACGTGATGTGATCTTCTACGAACGATTGACACTGCAGCATTACTGGACAACGTTGCCAACACAGACGACCCCACCGACGGCTTCGCGGGCCTTCGCTCCTTCGCCGACCGTGCTGCCGAGGCTGACGCACCAGAAGAAGACGTATCTGGAGCTTCGGAAGCTGCCGGACCACTCCCTTACTGTTCCGTGCCTGTTCCACTCGACGAAGACAATCCCCTCGATAGCAACAACCTCGACACCCTTTACCAATTCGCTGACCAAGGTTACGTTACACCTCACCCGGTCGACACAAATGTCTCAGAACGCATTGGCCCAAACTTCTTACCTGATCCAGAAGATGGTGACGAAGCAGCCTATTCGGGGAATGAAAATTCCCCTTGACACACACCCACGGGACTGCAGATACTCGGCTTATGGGTCTCCGTCCAGCATCCGCCGCCGCCATCTCCGCGTGAGCCAACGACTCTATCGCAGGCTCTGGTGGGGGAACGCAAGGCGAAATGGAAGGAGGCAATGGAAAAGGAACTGAAAGCTCTGCAAGACTGAAATACATGGAAGCTGGTACCTGCAACGAACATCAACGGGAAGAACTTTCTCTCGGGAAAATGGGTATACCGCATCAAGACCAATGCGGACGGCTCCATCGAACGATTCAAAGCTCGAACGGTCGTACGAGGATTCGATCAACGATACGGAACCGACTACACAGAAACATTCGCCCCAGTCTCCCGTCACACCTCCTTGCGCATTCTACTCGCAGTCGCGGCCACGAAGAAACTACCACTGCGCCAGATCGACGTCGCAAATGCCTTTCTGTACGCACCTGTGGACGCCGAGATCTTCGTCGAGCAGCCCCACGGATTCATCGACGACCCCACAAAAGTGTGCCAGCTGCCTTTACGGGATCAAGCAAGCCCCGCGGCTTTGGCAGCAGCATCTTCACGGTCGCCTCGTCAGAATCGGATTCCTACAGCTGCCACACGACCAAGGCATGTGCCGACTACAGAAGGAAAGGGAATTTATCCTACTCATCGTCTACGTCGACGACCTGCTCTACATCGGCTCCACTACCGACATCGCCACCTGGTTCGAAGGGGAGCTGAAAAGGGACTTGACACTCACGGTGTCTGACACCGTGACCCAGTACCTGGGTCTGAATGTCGTCGAAGGCAATTCGGCGTTCTACCTATATGCTGGAAAATACGCAGGCGTTGTCGCGAAGAAATTCGGACTAACATCGACTACAGTCACGACTCCCTACCGC